GAGCTCAGGGACAGTACCTAGGCCCAGAGTTCAAGCCCCATGACTGACAAAAGAATTTTTAAAAGTTAAACAGTTAAAAAATAAAAAGAAATCAATCTCATGATACACACACACATATATATAAAGTATTCAGCAATCAGTTTGTCTTTTTTTTTTTTTCTGGTCATGGGGCTTGAACTCTGGGCATGGGCACTGTCCCTCAGCTCTTCAGCTCAAGGCCAGCACTCTACCACCACTTGAGCCACAGAGCCACTTCTGGTTTTCTGAGTGGTTTATCGGAGATAACACTGGACTTTCCTGCCCAGGATAGTTTTGAACCATGATCCTTAGATCTCAGCCTCCTTAGTAGCTAGGATTACAGGTGTGAACCACAAGCACCTGGCTAGTTTGTCTTTTTTGTTTGTGTGTTTATTGGTCTTGGGGCTTGAACTCAGGGCCTGGGTGCTATCCCTAAACTTGTTTTTCTCAAAGCACTTCACCACTGTATAGCCCCATCTCTGGCTTTATCTAAGTAGTTTATTAGAGATAAGAGTCTCAGGGACTTTCTTGCCCAGGCTGGCTTTGAACCCTGGCCTCCTTGAGCAGCTGGAATTACAGGTGTGAGCCATTGGTGCCTGGCTATTTTATCATCTATTTAAGTATATGTATGTGAAGATTTTTTTAAATTCAAAAGAATACTGGTATATTAGTAAGGATTTAATCACAAGATAACAGAACCCATTCTAACTATTTTATGCAGAAAAGAATCACATGAGGGCTTATTTGAGGCCAAATCTCCAAGAACACCCAAAACAATATAGCAAAACTCTCAATATACAGAAATATATTCTATTAGCTGTTGCTACAGTTTGAACATCCCTCAAAAATCCACATGTTAAAAGTCTTGTTCTCCATGCAGTGCTAAAGGGGTGTGGAATCTTTTGAGAGGTATGAGCCTTGTGAGGGATTCTATGCAGTGCTAAAGGGGTGTGGAATCTTTTGAGAGGTATGAGCCTTGTGAGGGATTCTATGGTCACAAGAGGTATTGCCCTAAAGGGGACTGAGGAGCTCTAGTCTTTTCTTTGTTCCTTTCACTACGCAGCATATAATATACGCTATTTTTTTTCCCACCTTCTGCTACTATGATGGGCTTCCCTGTATCAGACCCAAAGTAACAGGGTAACCAATCATAAATGAAACCTCCAATTCTGTGAGCCAAAATAAATCTTTCCTCTAAGTTTATTATTTCAGGTATTTTGTGAATGTGACAGGAAGGCGAATAACAGCTATAATCCAGGGATTATTGTCTTCTGTGTTCATTCAATTCAAACTAGCAAAATGGGTAAATTCAGTAATAGAACCTTTTCCCCCATTTTATTTAGTTCTAAATTCAAGAAATTAAAGTATGACTTTACGTATTAGAAACAAAACTGGTTTTAGAACCTAAAATCATACCTAGAATTCTAGTTGGAATCTAGAAATTATACATGTTTAGCTTTTTTAATGTCAGAGAAAAATGAGTATCAACTATATCTCTAAATCAGTGTTTTCTATTTTATGTCCACAGTTACTATCCTGTTTCAGCCTACATGTTGGCCACTGCCAGCCTTTAGTCTTCCTGCTTCCACTGTTTCTTCAGGAATGGTTTTTCACTGCTCTGTGGAAAAAACAAAACAAAACAAAACAAAAACCATACACCTTATCACAGTTTATAAAGCCCTATAGGATGGGCCTTCTTTTTTCTACTTCTCCACCTAAACCCTTACTTTGCTCTTCATTGATCATTCTATGTTCTTGCCACAGGAAATAAGTGCAAGGTTTGTTCCTATACTTTCCTTATGTCCTTGTTCAACTGTCATCTCATCAGAAAATGCATTTTCTGATGGAGATGATTACTGCAAAGCTAGAGTGATCGAGACAAAAAGGTTCTGGCATTAAGAGTTGCTAGACAGAATACAAAAGCCCAGAACATGTAAAACCATTCGATTTTCCAGAAACAATGCAAGTAGTGTAATGGAGAAAGAAGAATGCTTCAACAAGTTGCAAAAAAAGTATTAGTAAATAAAGACACAAAAATTACTTCAAGATGATGGAGACCTAAATGGAAAAACAAGCTTCCATAGAAAAACAATTTTTTTGTTTTTATGTAAGAATAGGTAAGAGTTTCTTATATGACTCACAGAATGCAAAAACTGTAAGAGAAAAAAGTCATGAGGTATTAGACTTTACTGAAATCAGAAATACTTGTTCATCCAAAGATATTACTATGAGAGTGGGGAGCTGTTTCAACAATAAGAGTTCAAAGATTTGAAAATATACTTCACAAAAATAATTTAGTATACAGTTAGGTGCTGGAGATTCATGCCTGTAATCCTACCTACTCAGGATGCTGTGATCTGAGGATCACCGTTTGAAGCCAGGTTGGGTAGGAAAGTCTGTGGGACTTTTATCTCCAATTAAACAGCAAAAAGCCAGAAGCAGAATGTGTGTGTGTATGTGTGTGTGTGTTCGCATACAACAAAAAGAGAAAGTAAAAGAAATGTCAATTATTGAAACACTTTTGTACAACTAAATATAAAAATGATAAAGAAAAGAGAAATTAAGTAGATTTATACAAACTATTTCTGTACTCCTATTAATTACATCAAAAGATGAGAGCTGAGCAACAACCTCAAAATAAATATTGATCAGGGTGCCAGTGGCTCACGCCTGTAATCCTAGCTACTGAGGAAGCTGAGATCTGAGGATTGGGGTTCAAAGCCAGCCCAGGCAGGAAAGTCTGTTGAGACTCTTATCTTGAAAATGGGAAGTGGCGCTGTGGCTCAATCGGTAGAGAGCTCGCCTTGAGCTGAAGAGTGCAGGGACAGCACCCAAGCCTAGAGTTCAAGCCCAACGATGGACCAAAAAAAAAAAAAAAAAGAAAGAAAGAAATATTGATCTCCACTCATGAAGATAAAAATTTAAGACTATCAACACCAACACTGACAAAGATATGGCATAATTAAGCCTCTCATAAATTAGTGAATGTGAAATGACTTTTTTGGGTAGCAATTTGACAATTTCCTGAAAAGTTAAAAATGGATCTATCACATGATTATGTTATACATTTCTGTATGCATTCATACAAAGACAATTCATACCATCTTTCTTTCTGATAAACTAAAATCTGAATGGATAAACTGTGAAATAGTAAAATGAGGAGGAATTATCTATTGATTATAAGACATGGACATGAATGATGACCTATATAATCCATGTATTAGAAACTTAACCCTGAAAGTCATATGTTAATGGTTTTTGAAGTTATATGTTAATGGTTTTGAAGGTGGGGCCTTTGGACAGTAATTAGAATTAAATGAGGTCATGAGGGTAGGCTTTCTATGATGTAGTTAGTAGATTTATAATGAGAGGAAGAGAGAACAAGTTAGCAAGCTTGCTCTGTCTTATGTGATATTCAATCCTATCTAGGGATTTCTGAAGGATTCCTATGAAGAAAATCCTCACTCAATGCGGCTCCTTAACTTTGGGACTTACAACCTATAAAACTGTGAGCTAACTAAACCTCTTTTTCTTTACAAATTACTCAGCCTCCAGTCTATGGTTTCTAGTTATAGCAATAGTATATGGATTAGATCAATTGAGAAATAATACTATGTGATATGAAAGGAACCAAATGTATATAAAGTATTCCATTTATATAAAGTTCTACAAAATATAAACAAATCTAAAAAGGCAGCTCAATGATCGATAAGGGTGAAAGGAATTACAGATGAATATGTGGCAATATTGTATTGTATGTCACTTTTTTACCGTGTTGGGTTTCATAAGCCTATATAAGGTTCCCTACTATATATATATATATATATATATATATATATATATATATATATATATAGCATGTTAAAATGTTAAATAGTATACTATAAGAATATAGTATAGGGGCTGGGAAGATGGCTCAGTGGTAGAGCGCTTGCCTTGCATGCATGAGGCCCTGGGTTCGATTCCTCAGCACCATATAAACAAAAATAAAAAAAGCCGGAAGTGGTGCTGTGGCTCAAGTGGTAGAGTGCTAGCCTTGAGCTGAAGAGCTGAGGGATAGCGCCCAGACCCAGAGTTCAGGCCCCATGAACGGACCCCCCCCCCCAAAAAAAAAGAATATAGTATATTCTATGTCAATTATCTTGCTTTGAAATATCAATGAAAATATAAGAACCATGAAGTACTTTAATATTTATGATTTATAATCTGTATATTTAAGTATTTTATAATTTTACATGTTAAATTGTTTTTCCCTTAGTGTCTATTGCTATTTTAAGATTATAACAGCAAAGATTAATAGTTGAGTGGCTTATTAAAAAGTCAATTATTACTTTTCTGAAACTGCTCCAATACATGCTCTGTATCAAAGATGTTAGACTTATGAACATTAATACATTAGTGACATTCTCTTAGAGGTAAATAACTTGTTTTCATGAGTTAATAAGCACAACAATCTTTATATATTTCTGATTTCAAAGCAGGCAATTTACCAATGATTGTCAACCATAGTCAGTCAAATTAATATACTTTTTTTTTTCTTGGTCAGTCCTGGGACTTGAACTCAGGGCATGGGCACTATCCCTGAGCTTCTTTTGCTCACGGCTAGTGCTCTACCACTTCAGTCACAGTGCCACTTCTGGCCTTTTCTGTTTATGTGGTAGTGAGGAATCAAACCCAGGGCTTCATGCATTCTAGGCAAGCACTCTACCAGTAAGCTACTTTTCCAGCCCCAAAATAATATATTTTTAAATCTTGGAATTTCTTTTTATCATAGTTTCCACTTTTCAATTACAAAATAGCCTCCCTCTACTATACCATATTAGCTTGTAGATATGCTACTGAAGAAAAATAATTTCCAAAACGTTTTTTTGTGTTTTCTTAGAAAATCCTTTTAATTAGAACAGTCTGTCTTCTAGGTTGTAATAAGTGAGACACATGATATTTAAAGTAACTGGTATTTTAAAAAATATCAAATATATTACCTGGCCACATCCAGGGGCAGTGCATAGAAAGGGTTTGTCATCACTCATATTCCACAGGTCCTTGTATTGCCTACAATAAGACACAGAGATAGTAAAATGCTTTATACTATAAATACTGTATAAAACAAACACATTACACATCACAAACACTTTGAGGTAATCTCAGTCTGTGGCTTAGGCTGACCTAAAACTCAGAATCTTCTGCCTCTGCCTCTAAGTGTTGAGATTACAGGTATGTATTACCATACCAAGCCTACAGAGAGAGAGAGAGAGAGAGAGAGAGAGAGAGAGAGAGAGAGAGAGAGAGAGAGTGTATTACCATACCAAGCCTACAGTGTGTATGTATATATTACTATACCAAGTCTACAGTGTGTGTATGTGTGTGTGAGAGAGAGAGACACACACAGAGAGAGAGAGAGAGAGAGAGAGAGAGAGAGAGAGAGAGAGAGCGTGTGTATTGGCACATGAACACCAATCATAGGACTTGAACTCTGGGAGCTGTTCCTGAGCTTTATGCTCAAGGCTAGCATTCTACCACATGAACCACAGCAACCAGCTTTTTGATGAATAATTGGAGATAAAGAGTCTCACAGATTTTACTGCCTGGGCTGGCTTTGAACAGTAACCCTTACATCTCAGCCCCCTGAGTAAGTAACAAGCAATGAACTTCCACTGCCTGGCAGTATATATATTTTATTATATTTATTTATTTTTATCAGTTGTAGGGCTTAAACTCTGGGCTTGGGTGCTGTCCCTCAGCTCTTCAGCTCAAGGCTAGCATTCTACCACTTGAGCCACAGCACCACTTCATTTTCTGAATGGTTTATTGGAGATAAGAGTCTCACGGACTTTCCTGCCTGGGCTGGCTTTGAACTGCAATCCTCAGATCTCAGCCTCCTGAGTAACTAGGATTACAGGCATGAGCCACTGGTGCCCGACTATATTTTTAAATGAAGACTAATTTCAAATATTAATCTCAAGATTTGATTTCCACTAACCTTTGTAATGCTTCTATGAGACTGACATCATAATTATCCTCCAGTTTATTTTTATGAAAGTAGACAAATACATGAAATATATAGAATTTGTTTGACAGAAAAAAAATCCAGTTCAATAGTAACTGTAAAATAAACACATTTCATTCATTCATACTATGCAGTGTTTTTGTTTGTTTTTTTTGGTCGGTTGTGGGGCTTGAACTCGGGACTTGGGCGTTGTCCCTGAGCTCTTCATGGGGCTTGAACTCGGGACTTGGGCGTTGTCCCTGAGCTCTTCAGCTCAAGGCAGCGCTCTACCTCTTGAGCCACAGCGCCACTTCCCGTTTTATAGTGGTTTATTGGAGGTAAGAGTCTCACGGACTTTCCTTGCCTGGGCTGGCTTAGAACTGTGATCTTCAGATCTCAGCCTCCTGAGTAGCTAGGATTACAGGCATGAGCCACCGGCGCCCAGCCAATGCAGTGTTTTGAGAATCACATTATATAATTATAGAAATAGTGCAGCAAGATTTCTATCTCCAGTCCTAAATTCTTGTCAAATGTTTTCTTGCTATTGTCTATTAATGTCTATGCTATTCCTCCAAAATACTAATTTGTCTAAAACCAATAATGTTTTTTTGGTCCGTCGTGGGGCCTGAACTCTGGGCCTGGATGCTGTCCCTAAGCTCTTCAGCTCAAGGCTAGCACTTGGCTTTTTCTGCTTCCATGGTGCTGAAGAATCGAACCCAGGGTTTCATGCATGCAAGGCAAGCACTCTACCACTGAGCCACCTTCCCAGTCCTAAAACCAAAATTTTAAAACTCTTCTGAAAGTTACTCCTTTTGATGAGATACAGAAATCTCTGTTCCTAGGTAAAGGAGATAAAACATTATAGTCCATTAGGGTCTGGTTAAAGGACTTAAAAAAATACGCAGATGCCCATGTCCCCTAATACAGAATGTATAGTATCTGCAAATAAACAAGTATCCTTTCCTCTGTATTTTCTAAATCATTGTAGATTACTTAAAATACCCGATACAATGTAAATGCTATTTTTACTGTATTTAGGGGTGAGGTTGAATCAGAGGGTCCCTCTTTAACTCTGATTTTTTTTTTTTTGTCTGTTGTGGGGCTTGAACTCTGGGCTTGGGCGCTGTTCCCTCAGCTCTTCAGCTCAAGGCCAGTGCTCTACTACTTGAGCCACAGCACCACTTCTGGTTTTCTAGTGGTTTACTGGAGATAAGAGTCTCACGGACTTTCCTTCCCTGGGCTGTTGGTGAACCACGATCCTCAGGTCTCAGCCTCCTGAGTAGTTAGGATTACAGACATAAGCCACTGGAGCCCGGCAACTCTGATCTGTTTCAAACTCTTAAGTTTGTAACCTTCTATTAGTAGCACAGCTAGTCTTCTAAGCAAAGGTTCAAAATTTTTTTTTTTTTGGGTCAGCAATGGGGCTTGAACTCTGGCCCTGGGCGCTGTCCCTCAGCTCTTTAGCCCAAGGCTAGCACTCTACCACTTGAGCCACAGCGCCACTTCCAAAGGTTCAATTTTTTAACCAATATTTTATGCTGTTTCCTCCTAATTTATCAAAAAATTGTTAGAGGGTTTATATACTTTAAAAAACCCATGTGGGGGCTAGGAAGGTGGCTCAGTGGTAGAGCGCTTGCCTTGCATGCTCAAGGCCCTGGGTTCGATTCCTCAGCACCACATAAGCAAAAAGAAAAAAGCCGGAAGTGGCGCTGTGGCTCAAGTGGTAGAGCACTAGCCTTGAGCTGAAGAGCTGAGGGACAGCGCCCAGGCCCAGAGTTCAGGCCCCACAACCGGACCCAAAAAAAAAAAAATAATAATAATAAAATAAAAAACCCATGTGGGTTCACTGTAGGCACTACTTTAAGTTTTAAGCATGTGGGTTCATTGTAGGCACTACTTTAAGTTTTAAGCATGTATAGAATAATCCCTGAGAATATTCAAGACTCAAAGTAGTCATAAGCAGTCTTACTTATAAAACTTTGTGATTTGGATTGCTTTCTCAGTATCGTTCCATGGAAAGACATTTGTGGGCAAAATAGTCTGAATTTCTGTTTTCTGGTTCAACACACAGAGCTTGGAAGTCATCACTTCTGTCCTTACAACATAAATACTATGTAAGTAGTTAAAACTTTAAAAAGTCTGAACAAGCTGAAATCCTTTATTATTATAGCCACACCACAGAACTGGAATTCAAGGGCAAACTGACAATGCACAATAGAACAAGGGCAGATAACAAAGTCAGTTGACTGAGAGTGGAAGCCTACTGCTGGACTTAGTCCTGGTCAGGATATAAAAACTCTTAACTGATCAATTGCCAGAGACTCAATATAGACTAGCTTGAGAAATAACTTCTTGGAGTCCTGTTTGGTTTAGTAAGGGTTACAGAGAAAGAAAACAGGAAATACTTAGTTATAGCAAATAATAAACACAACCCACATTGAGTCAAAGGCTCATTTACCTCAGCTCATGTTACCTGAAACACCATATTCAGCTTTCAATAAAATATTATAATGATACACTAGAAAGACAAAAAAACCTGGATAGACTAGAAATTTTAAGTGTACTAGAAATTTTCAATGACTATGGATAAGATGCTACTCTAATTTCCTAGAAAGCATTCAAGAACACATGGGTAATAGGGTAATACTAGAGATGAAAACTTTAGAAAGAAAAGGAAATGTAAGAAATTTTAAAAAAAAGAAATTAAAAAATATTGTAACAAATTAGATTGCATAAGACTTAAGAAACCAATGATGATGAAGATATACAATTAATTCAAAAACTGAAAATAGAAAAAATATGCAGGAATAGAATATGCAGGAATTGTGGGACAATGATAAACAGTATTATACATAATGAGAATATCAGAAGAACAACAAGAGAAAGTAACAGAAGAAATATTTTAAGAAATAGTGGCTGTAAGAATTTCTCAAAAATACTGAAAAACATCACATCACAGAATCTGGAAGCTCAGAGAATATACAGTATAAATACCAAAATCCCTCTCAATCTCTCTTGTATTTTCTGCCTCTCTCTGACACACATCTAATCTTGTATCCCAGGCTGATCCCCAATTCCTGATTCTCTCGCCTTGTCTTTTTCATTGATTATCAGCATGTGTCACCTTGTATTTGATCAGCATAACTGCTTGGCTGGTTCCACTACTTGAGCCACACTGTCAACTCTGATTTTCATTTCTTATTTTGGAAATGGAGTCTTGCACATTTTCTATCCCCATTGGTCCTGGGGCTTGAATTCAGTGCATGGGTGCTGTCCGTGAGCTTTTCCATTCAAGACTAGCACTCCCCTTTGAACCAGTTCCAGTTCCAGTTTTCTAGTGGTTAATTGCAGGTAAGGCTCAGAGACTTTCCTGCTCTGGCTGGCTTTATACTGTGATCCTCAGAATTCAGCCACCTTAGTAGCTAGGATTATGGATGGGCATGAGCCACCAGTGCCCAGCTCTGCCAATTATTTTTGGAATGGTAGTATATTGCTCCTAAAACATGAAAACTCTATGAAAAATGCCTTAATCATAAGCACACACACACATATTCTTGTATCAGTTTGTCTCTAGGAATTTGTCCATTAATTAATTGGTTCTAGAAAATTGATATTCAAGAGTATTTTTCAACTAATAAATTATAGCATATTCCTTTTAATATACTGGCTAACTTTGGAACAATGTTTCACAAAGCATATTCTTTTTTTTTTGGGGGGGGGGGGGGTCCGGTCGTGGGGCCTGAACTCTGGGCCTGGGTGCTGTCCCTCAGCTCAAGGCTAGCGCTCTATCACTTGAGCCACAGTGCCACTTCTGGCTTTTTCTTTTTGCTTATGTAGCGCTGAGTAATTGAACCCAGGGCCTCAGGCATGCAAGGCAAGAGCTCTACCACTGAGCTACCTTCTCAGCCCTCACAAAGCATATTCTATAGGGATATTAGTAGTTACTATAAAAAAGATTATCTATGTCCATGGAAAATGCTGAAATATGTGAACTTTATTTTTGTAGGAGCTTTTAGAGCCTTAAATTCTTTTTTTTTTTTTTTTTGGGGAGGGGAGTTTGTCATGG